ATGGAATTGCAAACTTAAGCATGTCAACCACCATTCTATGGCCGGAGAAAAAAAAAACACCACAAACACCATACTAAGGGAAGACAACGGTAGATTTGTAAAATCATTAGAAATAAGATAGGTTTCAAAATTTACAGGTTTATTGCATCTTGCTTTTCACTGTCAGTATAGGCATTACGGTAATATTGCTTGATAGAATTAAGAAATTCCCCAGCCTGAGTCGTAGCTTTCCACTTCCCTTGCCTCTCTGGAAAGACCTGAGATAGATAATGAAAATTTGGATAGTGCACAATTTCACAAATTCACAAGAATGAAGATCAGCTTTTCCTTCCACTCTCTTTTTGGTACATGATTTATAAATAAGAAAACCATACAGTGTTATGGGCAGCAGAGCCTCCATATTGCTGTGCAAGAGCATCTCCCATGCTCTGATATATATATCCATGAGAGCTGCAGCAATGCTACTATCAGGGTCGACTTTAGGATTATCTGTTAAACCCATTGCATGTAGGCGGTGGCCTAATGCTGCAAGGCCATAACCGTACTGAGCAACATTTGTACGATCCAAGCAGTCAATGCAATTAGTGCACAGAATGCCACTTTGAAAATGTGCTGCTTCACCAACATGATTTTCTTTTTCATTCTGTTGACCCAAATCAGCTTCTCTGTCTTGACCAGTTACTGAGTTTAGATTCTTATCATTGCTCCCAATACTGCTGAGATGATCCCATGAGCTAGCTCTTAGATATCTAACAGAAGCCTCCCTGTGAAGATTGGAAAAAAAAAAAAATATATATATATATATATATACTTGACCAGTCAACGACAAGATAATTTTATGACGATTATACACAAAAGCTTTTTTAGCAGTCAACTTTGTGCCTGATATGGAAAAAACACAATTGATTTGCCTATTTAAGAAATCTTTAAGATTTAAGTTTCAACCTTACAGAAATAAACACAGAAACAGCTCAACTTTTTTGATGCTTTTATATATTCATGAATTTATTGGCTTATCTTTAATTCTAGAAAAACTTTGAACCTAAGGCATGTCTAACCCAAGAATCTTTATATTAATTGATGCATCACTGGAATGCTGCCATTTCCAAGAGTTTTGGGCCATCAAAAGTTTATTTTAACATCCTTTTAAGGTGGATAAGTTTTAGAAAAACTTGGGATTATGGGACCTAGAGTTAGAAGAGTTAATAGTAGAACATGCTAAAAGTTAGAAAAAATTTGAATGTGAAACTGCAATTTTCCAGCAGCACCAATTAAATCATTGGGGCTCAGCATAAGTGAGTTGTTTATAAGAAAAGTCGTCAAAATATGTACGAGAGTATCAGTTGCTGACTCTTATATCACCATAACTTTCCGTATGGTTAACAGATGATCTATCATCATCTATAAAACCTACCACCGAAGCAGTTTTATCAAAAATGTTTATTGAAAAATAGCATGGTAAGAGTAGAATTTCCAACATCAGCATCAACTTGAATAAGTTAATTCTCTAAAGAGAAACAAATCATGCAGTAAATAAATAAATTTAAGATGGAAGAAGAACCATTTACAACACCAAAAATGACTAAATGGCATCAACCCATAACTAGACGTAATTAGTACTCTATGATACCTGCCAGTACTTGCTCGGCTGGGTTTGTTGGTTCTCTTTTTAACATTGTTAAGTTTACCACTAAAGTAAAAAGCACTCAAATCAAGAGCTTCACTAGCCACAGCACCCAAAACAGCCAAAACCTGGCAGACTTGCTGTGAGATCAAGAAAGAAGAAAACAATCAGTTCCGGTTTCAAGAGACAAGTAGGAAAGTAGGTAGGGAGGGGGGAGAAATGGGGGCTTTCAAATGCATAAGAAGAAAAACAAACCTCTTTGCAAACTTGTGAAAGTCCCAGTGAATAAATTTAAGATGGTCTTCTTCAGAGAGAACTGTGTTCAAATACCCAACTGCATTTGCAAACTGACGCCTCAACATCATTTCTCTAGGCCTTTTCTCAACAGCCTGCACTTTTACAACTAATCAAGTCGGAAAAAGCAAAATGAAACAATAATGAATCCAGAATTCCCTAGTTACTAAAGGAAAAAATATCAGCGCTTGCAACATGTTAAAGTTGAAATCAATAAACTTTCTGATATCCAGTCAATAACAAGCCATTAAAACTCACAAATGTTTTACATTTAATTCGTATTAGTTAGTATTATCAATTCCTCAAGAGATTATCCATTATAATATAAAACAAACTCAACAAGCATTCAAACAAAGTGTCAACAAAAGCATGTTCAGGACAGTTGTCCTTCTGCACCTAACCTTAATTAGATTAAGCAAAATTATTGGATTGCCACATCTCTTTGCTAGGTCTTCAAAATGCAAATTGGTTGCCTCATATGTTGGATAATACCTCTGCACTGAGTTGAAAGCAGGAAACATCAAAAGAATTTTTTAGAAATTATAAAAAAGAAAAAAATTTATTTAGATGAAGTAAGATCTGTAGAAAAAGCTCCAGCAGTTTAATGTTTAAACAACAAATTACTTAGTATCAGTTGATTTCTTACAGATTATATCACGTTTAGGACTAAATCTTGAAGCCTCTTGTGACCAGAAAAGGGGAATCAACCCATGCATCTGAACGATGGAACTCATTTTTCCCTTACATGAACCAGCCTCTTCTTCTAGGATAATTTGTTCAGTTTCAACATCATTTGATACCCTTCCCAGATCATTGACTCCCCTTCTCAAGTAACTGGAGCAAACAAATAAATGGTAAAAGAATTTAAAACCATTGAAATACAATTAAAGGAAGCAGACATAAGCTCTATACTCTTTGTTATAATGAATAGTGCATGATCTTTCTATTCTCTAAAAGAAAATAAATTCAGCAAAACATATAAACTTCAAAAGAACATGAGCACATAACAAGAAAAATCCTTAAATTGGAATATGAAATTACAAGTTTTTGCAATTAAGCCCTTTGAATTCATTTCATTTTGTTATCAATTTAGCCCTCATCTTTGAAATTCAACTGAACTATTATTCCTTTGTTAATGAAACTCAATAATCCCATTTGTAGTTTTTATAAGAAAAGCTGTTAATTTTTCAAATGAAACTGAAAAATGTAACAAAACAAAATTAAACTTAGAGGTAAAGAACTCACCATGTTCCCGCAAAAAGCC